AGCTAGCTAGCGGCGAGCGCTGCGAGCACTCGAGAGGAGCGCGAGCACCAGCATGGCGGGGTTCCGACGCCCGCAGCCCGGCTGTTACTGCCGCACCGCCGCGGCCGTGAACCTCCTTCTGGGCGTCTTCCAGGTCTTTCTGCCCTGCTGTCGCCCGGGAGGGGCTCAGGGACAAGGTCAGCCTTGCACCGCTTTGCGGAGTTCTCGTTCTACCCCGCCCCCCCTGCTCTTTCTTTTAGGGAACTGCTGAAATCTATAAGCGGGCGAGGGGTGGAAAGGGAAAGGGGCAGCAGGAGGAAGGAAAGCTGTTGCAATTCTCGGTTGATAAAATTTCCTGACCACATCATCTCCTTGCACGTCCTCTTCCCCCCAATACAAACGGAGAGTAGGGAACTCGCGGGGCTGGGGGAGCGCCTCGCGGACCGCTAGCCGCGCGCGCCCCGGAGCCTTTGTGCGCGGGCCCCGGGCGCCCCGGGCGCAGCCCCCGCTTTGTGTGGCGCGCGCTGGTTCCCTGCCGCTGCCCGGGAGCCGCGCTCGCCCGCTGGGCTTCCTGCAGCTTTGTTTCCCGAGCTTGGCCGCCGGGTAGCCAGACTCCACACGCCCGCCCTCGGTGCTGCGGGATGCGGAGCCATGAATGCCCCGGGGTGGCTGCATCCTCTCCCTCGCACGGTCAGCCCCGACCCGACCGCGGGCGAAGCGCAAAGACATGCTCTCGCGTTTCTGTCACAGGGACCGCCGGCTTACACCCAGTCCATTGTGTTTTTACCCTAATCTCGCTCCTCTGGTGCTCTTGGTGTTTAGAAGGAAAATGCGACTTGTTTTTGGTGAGGTGGGTGGAATAGGGGGGACGAGAGTGGGACAGGAAGCATTTCTTTCCCGTGCATTAAAAATACATTGTCTTTTTTGGTGTTCGTGCAGCGATTGAACCCCTGCCGAATGTGGTGGAGCTGTGGCAGGCAGAAGAAGGGGAACTCCTGCTGCCCACTCAGGTGAGCACGACCAGGTGACAGGGCGGGTGTGGGTGTGCGAGGGAGGAGAGGCGTGAGGCCGCCGGCCCCCAGTGGCACCGACGCTCAGGCCACTTTGCAAGGCAAATAAACGGTCGGGCCGAGCCTGAACACCTGGCAACTGTGGCCTTCCTGGCCTCCTACCGCGCCATGTGACAAGGCGTGAGTCACGCCGGCCTCAAGTTCAGGGGTGGGAGCCCAGGCCACCTCAGCAGGGCCGCGGCTAGCGGGTACGGTGCGGAGGGGAAGGGCGGGTTTCTTGGCCGGCGCGTGTTCGAGAGACGTGTACACTGCTGGCTAATGACTGGTGCTGTGTGGATGACACCGCAGGGTGGAAGGTTGAGGATAACAGAAATATTGACTTCCTAAATGTTAGTGAGTGGTACTTGCCATTAGCGTTAAGTAGCTTTGGGATGAAGATATGACTTTTAAAGGATTGTAATCTTGAATTTTTTCTGAGTGCCTTTAATTTGTATTAGAATATACCCTCTTAAGTTGAATTTCAGGTTTTTTTCCTTTCTGTATGATGATGTAATGATTGCATGTGGAAACATAATTACTAACATTTTATTGGGGATCTATCGCATCATATAGGGTTTGCTGCTACAGCAGATGCAGTGCTGCAAAGCTTTCATGTGTAAGGTTTAACTTTTATGAGAAATTCTCATTAATTGCAAAATGTTCACATTTGAATATAATATTGACTTTTTTCATTAGTTACCCAGAGTGTGTTTTTTTGCGCTAATAAGGAAATATTCAGCTCGTGGGCAGTGATTTTGAAAATGTTCATACTCCACTTTGGTGGCAGCACTTAATTCAACATTGTCTCTTGTGGCCCTTTAGAAAAGCAGGCTGTCTAGCTGTAACTTCACAGAGAGGCTGGGCAATTTTACATTTCAGTTTTCTCCCTCCTGGGTGAAGCATTTAGAGCGCTGGTTTTGAGATATTTGGAATATTCATTTTAACCAGGGCTAATGAATAACAGATTCAAGGTGGAGAGGTCGTTTTAGAGGAAAATTTCCCTGGCCCTTCCCTGAGGGCCAGCAGGCTGAATAAGACCAGTCCTTTGAGAAGAGGCCACATCAGAATGGGGAGCAAAAGTCTGTTGCTCTCTAAAAGCTTTATTCCCAAGTGGATTTTTTTTCCTGATTATGAATAATACATGTGTGTTGTAGGAGGTTGGAAAATGCAGAAAGATACAAAGAAGAAAATAAAAATAATTATGATCTATTTGATGTATTTACTTAAAAAAAAAAAGTTATGTTTGTGTATCTCAGGATTGTTCAAGAGTGATACTAGTGACATTTTGGGCCAGATAATTCTGTGTTGTGGGAGCTATCCTGTGTTTTGCAGCATCCATGGTTTCTACCCACTAGACACCAGTGACAGTCGTTCCCCCTGCCCCGTCAGCTGTGTGACAACCAAAAATGTCCTGCCAAATGTCCCTGGGGGGAAAACTGCCCTCGTTGAGAACCACTGGTGTCTATCTTTATGTATTTGCATTTTTACTCAGTTGTAGCCTCCACTTCTTACTGGTTGGTGTTGGAAACCAACCCAGACTAAAAGGAAATTAAATTATAGACACTCATTAGTTACAGCAGTTGAAGATTTTGTCACTGTGCTTAGAGGTGGAAATGTCAAGGCCTGTGATTTGATTTAATTATTTATAGGTTCAAAACTTACAAAATTTTTAATTTCTGGTTTGTTTTGTTTATATACGTATAATACAGTTTGGTAAAAAAAAGTTACAATTTAAAAGGTATCTTTCTGGAATATTCACTATAGAGGCATTTATAGCTAAGTTACTTAATCAAAGCTATAATGAAAGTGAAACTGGCATTCAAAGTAATTTTCTTAACACATAGTTTCTATATGTGTACCTTTTAGAGACTGTTTAACCTGCATATATCTGGGTGGAGGTGAGAGAATATATATACATATGTGTGTGTGTGTGTGTATATATATATATATATATATAAAACATAAGCTGCAGAGGGTTCTGAGGAAAGTTATTTTTAAGAAATCCTTTTCAAAGTGTTTTGAATTTTTTTTAGAAAGAGTTTCCCTCGTGTGTCTTATAGGGCCTGTTGAAAAGAATATTTATAGGTGTTGTTTAGATTTGAGGATTTTCTGTTTAATTAATCAGTAGGTTGGGTTCCTTTCAGGAAGACTTAACAGATGGACTAAGAACTTAAGGTTTACTAATGATAGGTGAAATACGAGCATCAGAAGATAGGGCATTAAATAAACAAAAGAATACTGATGTATTTGCCAACACTATTTATAAAAAATACTTATTTTGGAAATGTTTTCTGTTGAATCAGCTCTTTTTTTTTTTTTCTTTAAATGGGTCTCTTTTTTTTTTAATTGTACTTTAGTTGAAGGTTTACAGAAGAAATAGTTTCTCATTAAACAGTTGGTGCACATATTCTTTTATGACAGTGGTTAACAACCCCACCACATGTCAACACTGTCCCTTCTTAACCTTGGGTTCCCTATTACCAGCTTTCCTGTCCCCTCCTGCCTTCTAGTCCTTGTCCCCGGACTGTTGTGCCCCATTAGTCTCGTTTTGTTTTATGGGGCCGTCTAATCTTTGGCTGAAGGGTGAACCTCGGGAGTGACTTCATTACTGAGCTAAAAGGGTGTCCAGGGGCCACACTCTTGGGGTGTCTCCAGTGTCTGTCAGGCCAGTAAATCTGGTCTTTTTTTTGTGAATTAGAGTTTTGTTCTACATGCTTCTCCAGCTCTGTCCAGAACTCTCTGTTGTGATCCCTGTCAGAGCAGTCAGTGGTGGTAGCCGGGCACCATCTAGTTGTACTGGACTCAGTCTGGCGGAGGCTGTGGTAGTTGTGGTCCATTAGTCCTTTGGACTGATCTTTCCCTTGTATCTTGTTTTCTTCATTCTCCCTTGCCTCATTCTCCCGAAGGGGTGAGACCAGTGGAGTATCTTAGATGGCTGCTCACAGGCTTTTAAGACCCCATACGCTACTCAACAAGGTAGAATGTAGAACATTTTCTTTATAAACTGTGTTATACCAGTTGAGCTAGATGTTCCCTGAGACCGTGGTCCCCACAGCCCTCTGCCCAGCAGTTCTGTCCCTCAGGGAGTTAGGATGTGTCTGTGGAGCTTCCATGACCTTTCCTTGTACAAGTTGTGCTGGCTTCAGTGGGTATCTTTCTTAAGTGATCAGGGCAATCCCTGGATGATGCAAACAGTTAACACCCTTGGCTGCTAACTGAAACGTTGGAGGTTTGGGTCTGCCCAGAGGCCCCTCAGAAGAAAGGCCTGGTGATCTACTTCTGAAAAATCAATCATTGAAAACCCTGTGGAGCATAGTTCTACCCTGACACACATGGGGTCGCTATGAGTTGGAATAGGTTTAATAGCAAACTGGTTTTTTTTTAAGTGATCAGGAACTTAATTAATGCATCATTAATAAAACCAAATAAAACAATTGAGTTGTTATAAACTGCCGGGCCCTCTGGCCCGGCTGAGCAGATTTGATTCCAGGCTTCATTTCTTTTAGCTCTGTTAGTTCACCGCTGTCCGTCCTCAGTTTCCTCATCTGCAGAATGAGGGTGATAATAGTGCCGATCTCAGAGGATTTTGCGAGGATTAAGTGCCTTCATTTTGCTAATCAAGGTGATTAATACATGCTACCTTAATACATGCTTTTATTTTGGCGGTAACTTGACCCTAAACTTGGTTATAGGTGAGCATGGAACAGCTTTCCTGCTTTGAAGAGGCTGAACCAGTGCAGATAACTCAGTACTATTATGTGCTTCATAGTTATATAGATGAGATATATTATTCTTGTCTTTTTGATGCGTACTCTTATTATGTTGTGAAATGTTTTGGTGCAGGAACATAAAAGCTGTATTTACGCATGATGATAATAATGAAAAAAAAAAACAAAAAACAGTTGCCGTTGAGTTGATTCTGACTCATGGCACTTTGTGTGTTTCAGAGTAGAACCTGTGCGCCATAGGGTTTTCAATGATGGATTTTTAGAAGTAGATTGCCAGTCCTTTCTTCTGAGGTGCCTCTGGGTAGACCCAAACCTCCAACATTTCAGTTAGCAGCTGAGCGCTAATCATTTATACCACCCAGGCACTCTAAGGTGATAATGATAGGAAAGAAGAAAAAAAAAAACCTGTCAGTGATTTTCATTCTTAGATTTACAGAATCTTTCCTCTTCTCTTACTATACACTTCAACTATACTTCAAGACACTGAGTCCAAAGTGGTGTAGAAACCAAACCAGTGTTTTCAGTAGCTTACTGTGTGTGTGCAAGATGCCGATTCTTGCACTTTCTTCTGTCGCCTTCAAGGACAAAACCTTCCATGATTCCCTGTTATCCAGAGTGACGTCCACTTGACCTGCTGTGGCCTCCAGGGCCTTCTGCAGTCTGAGCCTTGTCTGTAGCTCCGATCAGTCCCCTGGGACACTCACGCCAGCCTGACCCTTGGCTGAGCAGGCCAGTGTGTGTCTGTTGAATGAAAGAAGTAATGCTGTTGCCCTGCTGTTGTGTTTGTTCAGGGCCAGTCCTTCCTGGCTCCTGACTCCAAGTGGCATTGCCATCTTTCTCTGTCTTTGAGTTTCTCCCAGTGTCTTAAGTACTTGGGTTTCCCCCCTTGTTTTGTATGGGTCTTGTTTGTCCTAATTGGGTTCTCCCGAAGAGAGTGGCCTTCTAAGACTTGGTGGCCCTATAGTGTCCACCATATTTTATGCATAGAAGGTCTTCGGTAGTTAGCCCACAAAGTCATCTTAGTGGTGGAAAGGCAGTTGTCTCAATGTCCCACCCATTTTTCTATTTATGAGGTTGGCAAGTTCTGAAGGTGTGCTTTACAGGTGAAATGCCTTAAGGCTTGATTTCCTATTGTTTAATAATCACACTGGAAAAAAATATCAATTACAGCAGTAAGAAGAGCAAGCAAGAATTCGTTGTCTTAGTCCATTCAGACTTTGCTCCTGATGTCCCCTGGTAGGCAGGTTTGGACGCAGACACTGGTGCTGAGTAGGACGAGCAGCTGCCACCTGCTGTAGGTAGTATTGACTCTGGTCTGGGAAGGGTAGGCTTGGCGCGCACCAGCCTTATTTGTTCTTTTAGCAAACACCTACCGTGGGCCTGGCCCAGTTAGGCCTGGAGATACAGTGATGAATAAGGTAGTCCTTGCCTTTAAAAACCTCGTGTCTTTCCCCCCATTACACCCTATGACTATAGATAACGGAACTTGGTAGAAAGTGAAACAGGAAATGGTACAGTGAGCATCGGAGTTCTTTTTATTATCTCAGGTACTGTGTTATGTAATAGAATCTTGCCCCAGTCAGTGAATCATTGAGTAGTATTTGGAAACCTTTTTGTCATAGAGATTTATTTTTGGTATAATCTATCATCAGTATTGAAAAAACTGTATGTTGAGCACTGCCCATTGTTTGAGTGTGTTACGGGTATTAACTCACGTTAATACACTGAAAACTATGAAGTATTATGACTGATTTCAGAGATGAGGAAATTAAGGCACAGAAAGGTTAAATAACTTGCTTAGGTTAATAAGAAAGTGGCGGTGGTGGGATTTGAACCCAGGAAGGATCAAGTTCCAGGCCCATGCTTTCAGCCACTATGTTATTGTCTGAGTTTTAGCACAGTCTGACCGGGAGAGAAGTGATGTGGTGATAAAGTTCTCACATCAGAGGAAAATAATTTTATGTTCTGTTTTGATTTAGAAAAACTTGCTTAATGAAGTCATCAGATGTAGTCATAGCCTCTCATATTTAAGAAACAGCTAGACTGTACTTAGCTCTGCAGGTATTTATTGAGCATCTGCTGTGGGCCACGCGGAGCCCTGGTTGTGCAGTGATTAAGAGCTCAGCTGCCAGCCAAAAGGTTGGCAGTTTGAATCCACCAGCTGCTCCTTGGAATCTCTATGGGGCAGTTTTATTCTGTCCTGTAGGGTATCTCTGAGCTGAAATTGACTCGACAGGAACAGATTTTTTTATGGGCCAAGCACTGTTTTAGAGATATCGTGGTGAAAAAAACAGAAAAATCCCTGCACTTGTGGATTTTACAATTTAATGGAGGCATATAGATAATAAACAAGGAATATAATAAATTATAAGTTATCTAACCTGTTAAAAAGTGATACATGCTGTGTTGGCAGAGTGGAGGAGAATTTCAGGGTGTGATGGTGGTGGGAGTTGCAGTTTTAAATTGCATGGTCAGAGTAGGAGTCTTTGAGAACGTGATGCTTGAGTCAGTCCTTGAAAGACCAGAGTTAGAGTGGGTGGAGGGTGGAGGAATTATAGGATTTGGTCTCTACCCTTGGAGTGCTTGGTGTTATTGGTGAGATAAGGCTGGTAATACCCTGAGATAACAATCAGGTACATAGAAATTGAAAGATAAGGAGCTGTGTGTATTGGAGGGGCCAGTTAAGGCTCAGGGGAGGATGGGGGAGCTTAGAGATCGAATTAGCAAACATGTGACCCGGGGCCCAGCCCAGAGCCTCACATGACATACCATACAGTGTTTTTGTCATTTCTGACATTTTAAATGGAGCTGGGAGCACCTGCTGAAGTGGGGTCGTAGAGGTTGCAGATGAGTATGTCCAGGCTGATGTTGGACTGTGTCCAATGCTAAGTTAAGGAGCTTAGAGTATATCTGATGAGTGGTTCGGGAGCCATTGTAGGTTCTTGGGCAGGCATTGACATGATGACCATGAATTCAGGGTCCATACCACATTTGAGGTAAATAGTGATTAATGTTGAAGAAGATTGCTCTTGCAGTGATGCTCAGGGTGGCTGAAGGCAGGGAAGTCTTCAACCGAAGTGAAAGGCCTGAAAGTCTGCCCTGGTAAGCGAGGCCTGGGACACTAATGGTGTGGGCTCATTTGCTGGCAGGAGGGATGGATAAGAAAGGACAGGGCTGCGCTACATTTCAGATTAGTGGCTAGGTCTTCATGGTTGGAGGTAAAGGGAGGAGAGCAATACAAGGTGATCGTAAGGTTTGCCTAGGGGTCAAAGAGAGTGTCCTCGACATGTTAAAACAGAAGCCAGTTGGCTGGGACCCCTGAGGTTGATAAGTGTGGTGTTGGTCGATATTATTCTGGGGAGCTGAAGGGGAAGCAAAATGCATGGATCCTGGAGGCATTTGGAAATAGGGTTGAAATGGTAAAGCAATTCATCCTACAAGTATTGTGGAGCACCTAACGTGCTGGTCACTGGACTTGGTGCTGTGCTGAAGATGCGTCTTGGCTCTTCTGGAAATGTAGGTATTTATATCAAGTGTGCACAAGTGTAATGGAGTGAGAAGTTGGGGCTGGAGATAGGGGTTTGGGCCTCTTCGTTACAACTGCAGGTTAACTGTCTGAGCGAATTCATGTGGAGGAGGCTTAAGAGAGCACAGGGCTGGCCCCAGGAGAACGGTGGCAGCGACAGGTGGGAAGGGCAGCCAGGCAGTAATACCAAGTTAGGGAGGAGCTGGAGAAACAGGAAGATTTAGTATCCCGGCAGCCAATGGTGGTGAGCTTCAACAAAGAATAGTATGGTCGTCTGACTCGAGAGTGTCTGTCAGGCAAGTCAGAAATGTATTTAATCGGTCTGATCTTATGCTTCTGTTTCAAGCACCTTTTCCTTTTACCGTCACAGTATATTACATGTGATCAGATTTCAGTGTGCTAAGTCTGGGAGAAGATTCTGGAAGAGTTTTTGAGTGTGGTACTTAAATGTCATTTATAAAATGATCTACCTTTTTATGTCGATGTCAAAACATAACAGGTGTTGCTTTAGGGGATTCTGAACTCAACAGAATACAGTCTCTATATTTGGAAATTTTAATTATTATTAAACTTAAGGCTCTTGAAGAGAAGTGATGTTAAACTAATTTTGAGATTATGTTTGCGTGTGCTTTTAAACAGGTAGAGTATTTACTTACAGTGAATACCAAAGGGGTCACTTAGCAATTTCTGGCTTTTTACTAGTGTCATTCTTTCTTCAGTAGGTATTGGTTGGATGCCTGCTCTGTGCCAGGCACTACTGTAGATGTTCGTTACAAGTTCATCACCCCTGAGTGAGATTTGAAGAACTATTTCTTTTGGACATTCTGTGTTCCTTTGAAACAACTGTTAAAGCGTGTGCTTTCTCAATAGGGTGATTCTGAAGAGGATATGGAGGAGCAGTCTGAAGACCAGAGGTAAGGAGAGAAATGGGTGTGAATGCCTGCATGTTCAACTTCCCTGCCCACTTTGGATACTGTCTGAAGTCTTGGTATATGTCTGCTATATATGTGTATTTAATATTATCTGCATTGCACCCTTATCTTTGGCATTTGTGGTATTTACTCTAATAATTAATATTACTTTATTTTAATATAAGGTTATATAGAAGGCTGTTAGAAATCCCCCCCCAACTTGCCTTTTCCCCATGCCCTGCCTCTTATTCATGAACATCTGTTGAGCATCAGGCACTGTGCTGGGTGCTGGACATGAAACACTGAACAAGACCAGTGCTGTGTGTAGTGGGGGAGTCACTGTAAACAAAACAATTACGCTTATGACGTGAACTGTCAAGAATTGGACTCCCGTGGTAGAGGATAGTGAAGTAGATGGGGCGGTCAGGTGAGGCCCCTCTTAGGCAGTGACATTCCAGCTGAAGTCTGGAGGATGTGTAGGAGCAACTAACCATATAGCAAGCAGAGGAAGAGTGTGCTGGGCAGAGGGAACAGCAGGTGCAAAGGCCCTGAGGCAGGAAGCTCTGGCAGCAGTCCAGGAACTTGAGGGAGACACGTGTGGTTTATAGGATAGTGTGATATGAGGTAGGGCCTTAGAGGCCATGGTAAGGAGTTACTTTTTCTTTTTTAAGTGTTGATGTGAGTTATTAAAGGATTTTAAGCAGGGGACTAGCGAATCAAAAAATGTAAATTATATTACCTTGGTCATAGGGCAGTTTTGGTCAGTTGCTGTCAAAATAGGATATGTGGTCTCTTATAGGCACATGGGACTCACTAAGTGATACCTAGGAATGGGGATAACTTTCAGGGAATTAGCTTCCGGATCCCCAATGGCCGTATATCCTCTCTCCTGCAGTTAATGTGTCTGCGGTCACAAGTCAACATTTTCTATTTCTCCTTTCACAATCTCACTTCTCCCCTTAACAAAAAGAAAGGCATGCCTCTTACACATCCCCAGTCCTACTGTGTGCTTCATCTTGGGCAAACAAAGGGACAGTTTGAAATAGTTTGAAATATTAGTGTTAGTAGAAAGGGATTTAACTCTGATGGGATGACAAATTCTTTCATAACTCTGGTGGTTTTCAAAATTGCTTTCAACAAAAATTGAAGGAAGGCTTAATCAGATTGGCAGCTGATAGATCATTAAAAGTTATTTTTAATGCTAAATCAATGTGTGATTTTTTGATAAAACACTGAGTTTAAAGAACTTAGGGACAGAGCTATATACCAAAACTCCTTCCATTCACATCTGCTTATGTGAACAAGCTTTCTCAGTGCTTAACATTAAAAAAAGAAAAGAAAAAAGAAAACTAGGTGTAAATTGATGCTAACTAACTCTATCTCATTCTAGCAGTAAGTACTGTTTATTCACAGATACACGAATCAGTTGGGAAAGGGGGTAAGACAGCTCTATCCATCTGATTTAAAGGATGCATTTTCAATAAAATGCTACTTATGTTTAATTACCTATCAGAATTTGTTTGCTAGATTAGTGATGTACCAATAAAAATTGTAATGACTCAGTTCAGAAGAAAAATAAATTTAATACATAGACCCTATGGTCATAGGAAATCCAAAAAACTCTAAAATTTTAATTTTTATCCATAGTTTTATTTCAGAAGGCTTTGAATATAAAGATATACGGGGGACAGGGAATAAAAATAAGAGTTCAAGGAGAAAAAAGAGCAATGTAAGACATCCAGCAATAAGGAAGAGTATTTATGTGTTTTTTAAAATGGATGATTGTGATTATCATTGTAATGATATTTATATTCCATTGAATATATTTTAGAAAGTGATTGGGAGTTTTTTGTTTTTTTTTTTAACTGTACTTCAGGTGATAGCTTACAGAACAAATAGTTTCTCATGAAACAGTAGTACACATATTGTTTTATGACATTGGTTAACA